GGTAAAAACATGTAAAGGTCCCTATCAATTTTACAAGTTCTAATGGAACGGAATGATATCTGCACGGCACCGTAGCCAGCCCCAATATTTTTAATTTGCTGACTGCGCACGATTAACTAATATAAAGGTTAAATTGTAAAATATAGTCAGTATCTTGTACGCGGTGGCAATAATAGCCACCATCTTTACGAATTGACAATATTAGCAAATAACTTTCAAAATTTCGAGATTATTACCCAAATTCCAACCAAATTCGACAGATAAATTGCAAAATATAGTCAGTATTTTTTTACGCGGTGACAACAATAGTCATCGAATTTGTGTGGACATGGGTAATAACCCTAAAATTTTGAAAGTTGTTGGCTAATATTAACAATTCGTAAATATAGTTGTTAATATTGTCACCGCTTACAAGATATTGGTTATATTTTGCAATAAAGCCTAATATAAATGTTTATTAACCTGAATTTCACAAACATTCGCACAATAAAAAATAATATAGGTTATATAAATTACCCGCTAACGAGTTCTTCGAAGCTGATGCCGAGGTTCCTAAGGTACCGGGAGAATTGGGCCGAGGCGTGGGAGTTGAGGGTGAGCCTCATGTAACGGATCAATATCCCGTCGAGCTCCTGAATGGTCTCGGTGAGTTCATCGACCGCATTACGATTGGAGGTGTCGAGAGCCTCGAGGGCCTCGTACACGGCCTCGTGGTGCTCGATCATCTTGTCGAAATAGTCTCGTCTGACGGTGTAGTTTGGGATGAGCTGGAGGGCGTTGTTAAGGGAATGCTCCACGTAGGCGTGGACGAGGCCGGCGACGTGGCTGCGCACGGGGTCGCCACGGTGGCGGTGGACAACGGCATTGGCATCGTCAAGGATCGTGTGGATGGATGCCAAGTTGTTGTTGATCATTCGGATGTATTGGAGTTGTTCGGCGACGCTGGCGAAGGTGATGTGGAACATGTTGTTGACTTCGTGGCTGCGGATGAGCTGTGCCAGCCGGCGGAGCTTCTCGTCTTGGAGGAAAACTGCGTTCACGATCGACCCGGACGACATTTTTTATCTCTCTTTTGGGTTAATTTTCTGGGCGGTGTGTGTATAAATCTCTTATATATGATCAACTCAAGGCAGATGCATTTATATAGCAAAGGGAAGTTTACTGTTTTTTTTTTAGGGTAATACTACAGTAGTATACTGGGTTGATCTGACACAATCGCATGATACATTTTAATTAGTCATGAATAATTGGTGATGTAAAAAACTTAATATGTCTGCGGTTGGAGGAATGAAAATAATTAATTATTTTCATATTTAAGGAAATATATATGCACATGATCAAGAGATGATATATAAGGTTGATAGAGAATGATATCATGTTATATTTTTGCATTCCCATCAACTAGCTTATTCTGCAAGCATCCCTTCTCTTTGATGTTTCAGAAGGGAATATTTATTCCTTTTCTTTTAATTGTTTCATGATGAAAACATTGTTTATACAAATCCCTGCGTTGCACGGGTAAAAGATGTTAATTAATATTTATAAATTGAAAATGTTTATTAAATAATATTATAAATTAAAAATGCAGGATCAATATTGATATAGCCACGGTTAATATTGTCGGCTCGACCGATAGTATCTGATATAGTATGTCATACTCAATCGGTTTTTAAAGGTATATATTGAAGAATACGCCTATACATAGGCTAAGATACTTGATATGATAATATGAGTCAAGCCTAATTTGGACTATAAGATACACTCCGCCTTATAAGGTACTCATTTCATTCATTCCCTACACACTCTCTTCCTACACTCTCTCTCTCTATGCATTCTCATATGACTCAAGTACTAGCATCGGAGGCCAAAAGCCGGGTACCCTCCCGGGGTCCCTGGCTTTGGGTTCTTGCAGGTACGGTGACCGTCCGAGTCGAGGGAGCCCGAGTGACATCTTTGTCATATCAAATATGTAATATAGTTTACCTATATTAATTTTATTGAAAATGTTATATGAAATGTAAATTGTGCATAACATAAAATACGTCTATCTAAAATTAGCATACAACTCGTTCGGTGTATG